TTTTTTTTTCACTGTAATTCTTGTTCAAATGCATTCAATGTTCTAAATGTAGACAAATCATCGGGCATAAATCGCATAAAACATTCATTACAGAAAAGGCAGTTGTCAATTGTTTTTTTTCATTTGGTTCAATCCAATTGTTGGTTCATGAGAAATCCCGTGTGCAAATAAAATGACTAACAGTCACTCAGTTGTATGTAACTGTATGTAGTGATACACAACTAAAACTGGCTAAGTTGATTGAAATCATGCGTTTTGTATGGAGACAATCACGTTTAGTTATTCATTCAGTCAGTCGACTAATTTGGACATTTTGACTAAGAGTGATTTGTGATTAAAGTTAACTGCAGTTGCTTATTTTGTTCGAGACAATCACTTTAAGTCAGTCAAAATGTCCCAAATTAATCGACTGAATAGTCAGTCAAAAATTTTCCACACGGGAGCGCTAGATAATATAGATTCATCTTTTACAAACTACTGAAAGCTACAACACAAATCTAAATTTTTTTTTTCCAGAGAAAATTTAAAAAAAATATCCCAATCATTTGTTTCGTACAATATGAAGCTGATCCGGAATAGATGTGTGGATTTAAACTGTAAATAACTTCGGCGAAGACCATTAGAAATCGATGATTAGGCATCAAATTGTTAAATTCAAGTAGCGTTTATTATTACAATTTTTTTTAAGAAATTGAAAACTATTTTCTGTCCAAACTATTTGACAATGTTGACCCTTTCATAAATTTAGGCATTTCTTAAAGCTAATTTACTGTGTTAATCATATAGCAAATGTGTGGGCATATCGACAACATACAGTGTGAATGAATATTGAATTAAACGCATAATGTGTATGTGTAAAAATGGGCAAAATAATAGGAAGTCCTCACTGATGCACAACGTGCATTTCACGTCAAACTGTTGATCATCGTGGACTGATGACTTTGATTGCAGTCTTTGAGCGACTCGCATATTGAGTGAATCACTCAATGAATGAGAATGGTTCATTTTTGCGTGCGAGATAGGAAAAGTAGTCAAAAGAATTAGTGATCCATTTTTACATGATTTATTAACGATAATGATTAGAGTATATCGAAGAATGAATATGGGTGGTGGATGCTCAACTCCTGGACAATCTGGGCATAAATTCTGAATATATAATTCATTAAAAGACTCTTCTCTTCAAAGACATCAATCAACTAATTCCCAATAGACTGTTCCGATGAACCTAAACAGTAACTCTCTGAGAGTCTCATCAAAAAATCATCAAACTTTAAAAATGTCCACCACCGTTCACGATGTAACCAATAGCCGGTTACAAAGTGGCATGCAGAGGGGAAGTTGGTCAAATAAATATATTGGAATAGAGTATTTTTCTTTAATTGAACACAAAAAATTTTTGGAACGTGATGGAGTTTTTAATGCATAAACAGGTATAACTTTTAGTAGCTATCAGCATAGCTAAGATCAATTTGATGTGCGATACGTTTGTTGTTCTCTCGTTCGACCAATAGTTCATCTGAAAATGGAATGGTTTATATTGATTGTGTTAGTAAATTGATGGTCTTAAATCGAATTATTAGCATTGGTTATTGAGAATGATTCATGTGTGTCTATTGTCTCATCATTGATAAGTCATTGGTCAGTGAGTTTTTACGTAGTCAAGTCATTGTCGAGTAACAAAAAAAATGGTTGAAAACAAAAAAAAAGAAACTTGAAATAAAACGATCGCTTTTTAACTGATTGAAAATAAAAATGGATGTTCTTTAATTTTTTGTTTGCTTGTATAAATTAAAGTACAGAATTTAAATCAAAAATAATGAGAAAATAATTTAAATTGTTGGTGAAATGCAAACATTTCACATTTAAAATGATAATACAGGTTTTGACGCAGTATTGAAAGTGCTGTGTGTTGATGCATTTGTCGCTTAATCCTTGAGGATGAGTTCGACGAAGGCGGTGTCGAGATCGTCTCCGATATCCTTGTATTTTTCCTTCTCCATAACGAGTTCGTCTGTTTAATTCGTACGATAAAAATACCAACAGAAAAATAAAAAGTAAGAAATGAACAAAAACAAAATTAGGAATCAAATTCAAAATCGACGTTCAGTGTAAAAAAAATATAATTCGATTTGAGCAGCGGGTTTTTAATTTCGCAACAGCATTCCAAACAACAACAAAGTGCTGCTCATCAAATAGTTACCTTTAAAAGCACTCAATCATGTCAAAGCGAATGTTTATTTGTTTTAAATTTATTTTAAGCGTTAAAAGGAGGCACGTGCAAAGCAAGAAAAATCAATTTGACAAGCGGTTTCAGTTTCCATAATTATGATGGTGGAGACTGAGTATTTATGAAGCTGGTGCCTCAGCAGGTGGAGCCTCAGCGGCCGGAGCTTCCGGTGCGGCCGGTTCTGCAGGAGCCGCTTCGGCTGGTGGAGCAGCGGCATCAGCAGGTGGAGCACCTTCAGTTGGGGTTGCTCCTTCAGCGGGTGCACCTTCAGTTGGGGCTGCTCCTTCAGCGGGTGGAGCGCCTTATTTCAACATTCCAATTAGTTTTCAATTTTCAGATCTCATATCGAAACAAAACGGTTGGAATACAGTGGCATCGTCATTTTGGATCAAGTAACTGTCAAATTAACTATTTCACTTATTCACACGGTTTTTCATGGCGTTTGAAAAAGAGATATTATTCAATGAATTCGATTGTGATCGTCAAAATATCATTCGTTGAAATATCTTGATATACCTTTGGCATGTCATTCTACTTCATAGTAGGCTCTAAATTTGAACGCGTTATTCCTTGGCATGTCTCAAAAACGATAAGAATTGAAAATAGCAAAGAGTACTAAAACAATCGAATTCCCCAAAATAAACATCTCAATTCCCAGTGCATAATAACAATTTGACAATCAATTGATTCAAATGACTGCTCGTATCCATTCAGTCGTTGTGGCTTTCACCTTCAGCTGCTGGTGCGCCTTCGGCAGTTGGTTCAGCGGCCCCTTCTGGGACTGGCACTGGTTCTGGTTCCGGTGGTGGAGGTGTGTAATTCTTTACGAATGGAACCTCAGCACCTTTTTAGAAAAAAATATATGAAAAAGCGTTGAATGCGAGTCGATAAACTGATTTGGTATATCGTTCTGAATTTGCTCGCAAATTTCACCTTCTGGTGGCAAATCCTTATTAAATTCGAATGCCGGTGGTGGTCCTTTAACAATTGGCACTTCAACGCCATGGAACATCCGCGTGGTTGGCTTTAATTTGTGTTACAAAAAATGAGTCAGTACAATCAATTGGTTTGTACGAAAAACAACACATTCAATACTTCTGGTATCGGTTCAGGTTCGGGAGCGGCAGGAGCGGCTGGAATCGGTTGTCCATCTTCACCAAGAACAATTGGTTGGCCATCGGGACCAACGGCAGCAACAAGCGCAGCCTCTGTACAATATTTTTCATAGTTATGCCATCGATTTGCGTATTGGAAATCAAGACCTTTGCACATTGAGCTTCAATCACACAAATATGATGCAAATACGAATGCGGTCAGTGATCGACGGTCATACAAATGCCAATTTCTTAGGGAATTATCAAATTGATGAAAAAATTGGAATTTCTAAAAACTGTTTTTTTTCTTCTAAAAAGTGTTCACGAACTCTTTCGTCGTCTTGATGGAAGAAAATTTGCCGAAAATGACAATTCAAGCAAACATTTCGAAATTTTGAATAAAAAAAGTACAAAAATTTGAACAAATTCATAATCGGCATGTATACAGCATACGCCAATGCATCGTATTTGATCGATTAAAATAGTTCGATTGGCCGTGCCTGGTGTTGGTTCCTTTGGTGGTGGTGTTGGTGACTTCGGTTTGATCGGTGTTGGTGGTTTTGGATGTCTATCGTTATACACCATTTCCACACCAATAAGTTCTGCATAGTTCAAATCAGAATCACATTATTTTCGAATCGAAAATATTTACTGAATGTATGAGATAAGTGCAATTCGATTAGCTGACCAACAAATGCAAGATCCAAGTCATCCCCAATAGTGGCATATCGTTCACGTTCCTTGATAAATTCATCTGTTCATTTATGTGTAGTAAATAAGTAAATGTATCAATAAATCTCAAAAGTTGTATTCGGATATTGACACATTGAGGTGGAGTACAGGAGTACACGTATTTTCTCTCGATACATTGAAGTGGAGTACACAGGATCAACATATATTGTTTAATTCTCCAAAATTGGGATGTCTTTTTTGTATATGTGTATGGATGAATTCACGATGTTCTCACATTTGGTGGGTTTTTTTCCCTACATTTGGTGGGTTTTTTCAACGTTCAACTCACAATGGGATTATAAAATGAACGTGTTTCTTCTAAAATTAACAATCTATCCAATTTTAATGCTAAAACAACCAAAGAAAAATATTCATTTTGATTCAAAAACCCAAAAAAAAATTCCAAATTCTACAAAATAAAAACTCGGTCAATCAATTTTTTGGAAGGACAAAAAATCATTTAATTCTCACTGACTCAAATCAAACAAGAAAATTAAATTCAAAAAAATATTATTAGAAAAAGTAAAAATAAATGAGTGGCTAAGCCACTTTTAGTATATTCTCGATATGATCAAAAAAAAATGTAAATAAATTGATAAATTTCTTACTTTTTTCTTCTCTCGCTATCTCTTTTTCTTTCGTTTATTTTTTTTTTGTGTGTGTGTGTATGTGTGTTAATCTAAGTCTACTCTCTTCCATTATTTCGCAGAAGAAGAAAAAATAATAGAAGAATTGATACGGTTTTTTATGCTTGTAGAAAAGTAAATAATCTGCGTGTCTTGTTCAATTTCAATATGTTCTTTCTTGCTAATTGCTAAATAGTATATAAATATAATTCTATATATCTTGCCCTGCATACACACGTACACTCAAGGCTTGATTCAATCGACATATATAAAAGTAATTTAGTTGAAAGGGTTTTTGATTTGTTTTTGCATTGTATGAGCGAAAAAATTGAATTTTTTTTCTCTTAATTGCCGATAGAAGACTGTAAGCCTCAGAACAGTCACTTGATTGATGATGACTTGAACAGTCATCACCGTGGAAAAAATTACAAATTGTTTTTTTAAGTAGAAAAGAAAAGATGATTCACATTGAATGGGAGAAAAAATTGGAATGATTTTAATTCATTTTATTTTGATTTTTAGTCGTGGAATTCTGAAGAAGAAAAAAGCAGCGAAAAAATTCGGAATCAATTTTCGGAATGGAATTGAAAATTTTGGAATTTTCATCCTTTTGAATGTCTTTTGTCCATTGGAATGTAAAACGTCTATATGGATTTTGCTCTAATTATTCGCAATTGATGATTTGAATGAAACATTAAATGGCATTCGCGCTTACTGTTATGGTTTTACGGTTATTAATGGAAGATACGTATTTGTTTCTCATCTCACTTTCTCAATCTCTGCTTAAATTCTATCAAAAAAAAAAACAGTTTTATCAAAAGAATAAACTTGCGGGAATCAAGATATACAATTAAATATTCTCTTTTTTCTTTCTCTTCGCTTAATTACGTGAATTTCCCTTTGTTTTCAGTTTGTTGTTGTAGGTGAAAGTGCTACGTGCAAATAAATGTCTTTTTTTTGTTTCAATGATGAATACAATCATTTGTCTATATAATACATTTCGTGCATTATGTTTATGCTTCGTTCATCCGGATATTAATCAAAATACAATTGTTTTTCATTTTCGAGAAGAAAAATTAATTGGAAAGAAAAAAAAATGTGTCTAGTTTGATTCTGTCTTAGGTTGTTGTTTGTTTCTCTCTTTCTTTTTTCCCTCACATCGTGGCTTTTACATATTTTGAATGTCATGCAAGGTCGCCTCCATTTCTTCTTGAAGTAGTTTGTTCTTTTCACGTTCAACTAAAATGTCATCTGTTTGATTTTTTTTGGCGCAGTTTTTTTTATGTTAACACATTGATTGAATTCAGGGAGACGCCATCCAAAATATTGGGTTAATTTCAGATATTTTTTTTTTCGTCGCAACATCAAATTACGTAACATCAAATTAGATCAAGCACGCAGTTAATACAGCAATTTGGGGTTTATCAGCGCAACACAACAAAAAAATAAAAAAAAAATGAATAAAAAAATAAAATTAATAAAAACACACCAAAATAAACACAGTTTTGAATAAATAAATGAAGAAAAAAAAAGAAAAAGGAAATTTTTTGTCTAGGAACTGTCTTTGTGTTAGTTGATTTTACAGTTTTGGTAAGTCTTTGGTTTTTTCACAGTTTTTTTTTAATTTGCAAGTCTTTGGTTAGTTGTTAGTCTTCGGAATAAACAGTTTAACTTGAACAAGCCAAAACTGGCTTGACTCTGGTTCAAAGTCGCTTGTTAATTGAAAGTTGTCAGTAAATTCGTAGTTGAGATAGAAAAAACAATCGATAAAATTGCACACGAATCAACTTACCTTCAAGTCTGTCAACCTCCTTTTGCAATTTCTGAACTGAACGCTCAGCGAATTCAGCACGGGCTTCAGCCTATTGTTTTTTGAAGGGTGGGAAAAAATAGAATAAATACGGATTCACATGATTTTAAATTCGTTTTAAATTTCCCAAAATTCCAAGGTTTGACGAAACGGTGAGCGGATTTTTTTTCTTTTTCAAGGAATTACGATACATGATTCTAAGCACTGGGAATTGATTGATACTTGAATCTGTTCATTTCCCATTTTTTTGCCTCAATTTAATTTTCTTCATTTTGATTGTTTTTTCTCTTTTCTTCAATTTTTGTATTTTAACTTTGTTTTGATTTATTTTTTAAATAAAATTTAAAAAATTTTTTAAATAAAAATATCAAAATAGAAATAAAATTTAGTTTACCCAACAAAATAGAATAAAAATTGACAAACATTTTAATAACAATTAATAGGAATGAAGATAAAATAGACATATTTCGTGATGTTCCTTTAAATTTAATTTTTTTCAATAATTTCTGGATGCTTTTTTCAAAGGCTCGAATTTTCTTGGAATTTCGGAAAATTTAATAAAAACGTTCAAAGCTTTTGTTTTTTTTTTGAGCGAGCACACATCAATTGACACACATTTTAAAACTAGCATGCATTTAGTAAGGTTCATTTCGAGAATAAATCAAAATATGTATGTTATTAATGAAAAGAATGTCTAATAACAAAGAAATGAAAATTTGATGAGAAAAAAGTGGTTAAAAATGTGACGATAACAAATCAATTAACAAAAAAAAACGAACAAAAAAGTTTCGAATTAAAGAGAAAAATGAAAACTATCAACAATAAAATGATATAAAAACAATTTAAAACCAACACAGTAACAAACATTAAAAATTTCTCATCTAAAACTGATTGTACCTCAAAGAATCGGTGCAGAATGTTTGAAATTGGGCTCAAACATTGGAAATAAAATGAAGAATTTCAACAGAAATGTAATAAAAGAAAGAAGAGTTTAAAATTGCAATTTAACAATTGCCACTTGCTTAAAAGAAAACACTATTTGCTAAAATAAGACATGTTCTGATATAGAAATGATAACCCCACTAACCAATATAAAGATGTGTATATAAAAAAATGGTGCATATTTACAAATGGGAAAACTTACACTGGCACATTGCTTTTTGAGTGCTAAAATTTGTTCCTCGTTCGTTTCTCGATTAGCAGAAGCCTAATTGGTCGGTCGGAAGATGTAACAATTGAAATAGAATTGAAGAAAGTGGAAATTGGTTTTTACAAAAAGGTTGATCAATGATCATCCGGAAAAAATGTGTTCAATTTTTAATTTTTTTTTTGTTTGAGAAAACGTTCGTTGTTCTTGTGGATGGGAATTTTTGTAGAAGAAAAAAATTCGTGGAAGAAGAAAATGAATTTTCGCTGTTCTTGTAGAAGAAACGAAGAAATTATTTGGCAGAAAGAAGAAGGAATAAGTCAAGTATTGAATTTAGAAGGAATATTTTTAAAAGGGTCATTTCGGTCAACCCAACACCGATCGATTCCGTTGCATTTTTACATAAAGACGATTCGGATTTTTTTTTTTGAGAGAGAATTGTCTCTCATTTCAAGAGAAAGTGATAAGAGTCTGTGAAATGTGTTTTGCTTGGGCTTATTTACATTGTACCTGGTATTCTTATCACCATTGCTTCAATTTAAAAAAAAAAAACATTATATTTTAAATTCAAATTCCCTATCTCCCATAAAAACTTTGTTCAAAATTGATGTTGCTCACGTCATGTTTTTTGTACATGAAGAAAAAAAATTGGTATGATTTAAATCACCTCTTTAAGCCTATGACTTAATGAGCGAATTTGTTCACCGCACGTTTCTTCCAATTGCGTTGCCTAGCTCCGTTGAATTGCAATTAATTTGGATTTTTGTTTTGAATTAACATGAATATTCAAACGCAGGTTATTGTTAATTTTGGGCCACAGAAAAAAAAATCACATCAAATAACAATCAGCAAAATTAGTAGGTGTTTAGTTTAGCTCTCAAAATTAAAAAGTCATGAGTCTATTTTTTTTAAATTATGGGAAGTTAACGCATGATTTCACTTCTTCAACGTGCGAATTGCACGAGGTAAGGAAAACAAATTAGTTGGCGTTTAGCCTAGGTTAAGTCCATGAATAATTATTCAAATTCTAATTTGACTTTGGGCCAAGAAAACAACAAGCAAAAAAAGTGTGTCTCTGTTTAGAATCGACACAGCGAAAAGTTTTGCAAAACAACATTGACAAACAGCGTATTCACAAAACAGCGTAAATTTTTGTGAAGCCTTTGTACCTCCTTGAGACGGGTGGTCAATGTCTTGATTTGGTTTTTGTATTCTTCTTCACGTTGGTTGGCCTATCGCATTTTTGTATTTTTTCGGGCGTTTTTTGTGTGGATATTTTGAGACAATTCCGAGGAAAAATTGTCAAGATTTGAACAACGATTGAATGATTTTTTTTTATTAAAATCAATTTACGAAGAAAAATCTTTTTTTTTTATGACGAAACGTAAAAAATTGACTCCATGAATAAACAATGTTTTTTTCATTTGGAATTGAAATAATTGAAATTGATTCTATTTCAATTCTATAGATCAATTTAGTCAAATCAAAATCAAATCAAATTTTTGATCAAAATTATCTGATAATTCTGGAAATATTCTAAATGAAACATTATTTTCTTCGTCAATATTTTACGGTTTCACGTCAAAAAAAAATTTAAAAGAATTTAAGAAGCAAAATTGTCTTTTTTTCAAATAAATCAAAAAATAATGATATCAAATGGAAAAAATTGTCAACGAAATGGTATACCTTTTCTTCCGAAACTTCAAGAGATTTCAAGTTGTTGCCAACAACACGGAGTTCTTCTTCGAGTTCAACGATTTTGCTGTGGAAAATGTGAAAAATGAAGACATTATTAAGGGTTCAACGGAGTTTATGATAAGAAAATAACAAAAAAAATCACAGCAACGGTTAATTGGCATTGGCGCAAAAGTACAAACCTTTCACTTAGTTCGACTTTCTCTTCGGAGCGTTCTAGGTCCTGTTCCATGAGGACTAGCTTACGTGCGACCTTTATTAGCGCGGGTTATGCGGATACAAGCAATTTGGTCAAATACAACAGGTTTTTTTTTATGAAATAAATACAACAATTCATTAGTACATTGAAAACAGGGTTTGGCAATTAAATGGGTTACATTGGGATGTGTTAATGATTAATTGAAAAAAAATCTCATTGCTAGCTAAAAAAAATCTCTCTTAAATTCTAGTAAATTCATTAGAAATTGGTTAATTCAATAAAAGATCAATTGAAGCGGGTATCCTGTAGCGGAATACGTCATCTTTGTAACAATGAACAATCGCCTTGTTCATCTTTTTCGCACCTGAAATGGAACTTTGGCATTTGTTAGCGGTAAAAGCACAAAATAACAAAAACATTTGGGTTCAATAGCAGTTGATTCGGCGCAAAAACAGTTTTTTGTAACAACAACATCAACACTGGCAACAACAAAACAAAATCAAACACATTTTTTTTTCTTTGGTTTGAAACGTACTTTTCGCCGAGCTCAGCACGTTCTTCGGCTCTTTCCAAATCAGCTTCAACCATGGCCAATTTACGGGCAACCTATTCAATGTGGCCATTTTATGTATCGATGATTTATTGACGAATAAGAAAAGAATATAACATTAGAATTGTTCTTTGGATTTTTTTTTTCTGCCGTTAAGCAAGCCAAATACGATGAATCGCATTTGATAGCGCGGTGAATACAAAACAAATTATTATCAAGATCGAAGTTTAAACACATGTTTCATTTTTACGGACTAACTTTTGTTTGTGACTTCTGTTGGATGGCTTTGAAATTGGATTTGGTCAATTTTGGCTGAAACTCGAATTTCTATTGAGTATTGGGTGCTAGTTGGATACTAAACAAATTGATAGTCGATTTTGGAGATGAGAGTCTCGACTTGAGACAATGACCGATTTTGTTTTAGAAAAAAATGTCGGGTAAATTTTTGCCGCGGGGAATTTTTATGGGCTGTTTTTTCTTCTGCAAGAAATATTTTCAGCAACAACAATTTTCTTCAATAGGTTTTTCCTTCGACAGGAAGTTTTCTTGGGGTATGAAGCAAGAAAAATGTGTTTCTCTAGATTAAAAAATAATCTAGATCTAAAAAAATTTTTCCAACCATTTTTTCCATTTAAAGAGACAATTTTTCTAACCAAAAATATTTTTTCGAGCAAAACCTATTCTTCTTCGCCAAAAATGGCAATTTTGCGGTAAATCGATTTGATTTGAAATTCTCAAATATTGAAAAACGACGAGAAAGAGCGTCATTTTTGAAAATTAATGCTGCAAATCAAATTCTATTGAATTAGAGCAAAATCAAATTGCAAATTGTCTTCTCAATGTCATTTTGTGTCCTCTGAAGAAAATTTATGAACTGCGAAGGATGTAGAATTTTTTTTAGAGTGACCAAAAACGAATCAATGATCAAATCCAGGCAGTGAAACATATTTTCAAGAAGCGATTGAAATTCGCGATAGAAATTCACATCAGAATAGAACTGGATGAAACGGAGTGAATAAATTGGATGAAGGCAATGAAATTCCCATTGTGACAGTTAGAAGAACACTGGCTCAACGTTCAGATTGAAAATCAGCGCAAACCGGTCAAAATATTGATTAAGGAGTCTTGAGCAGGTGCCAAGACCTGAGTGTACCGAGCATGTTCAGAGAAAGTTCAGAAAAGTCCCAATATGTGGTCAAGATGGGATAAAGAGAGGATCAAGAGAGATCAAGATCTTCGATTTCGGGTCAAGATGTTCTTTGAATTCAAGTTCCAATTTTCGATTTGCATCCGAATTTCCAATATTCTATTCGAAAATCCAATATTTGATTCGATTGAATCCTAGTCTCAGCACAGACGTGCCAGATTCATTATGCGTGTGTCAGCCAATCGACATCATAATTCAAGCAAAGCCATCAAACAGAATTATTCTAATATTAAAAACAGATTTTGTTGTTGTTTGTTCATTTTATTTAGTACATAATATATATTTTGCATAAATTTATTTGAATAAAAATGGTTTTTAGTAAATCTCCTGTTAAAAATGTGTCTGTATGTGTGTGTTCAATTTACATTACAATTTGTTAAATGTTTAAAAATAGAATTCTTTTATTGAAGCAAAACAAGAAGAAAAAAAATGTTCGTATATAATATATACTATATATCAATCCCATTCCCTATAATTGTGGTCCTAATCGATAGTTGTAATTCTGTTTCTGTATTTCATTGGACGTTTATTTTCGCTAGCTAATAGAATAACTTGAATTTAAAATAGAATATAATTTAAAAACGTTTCGTTAAGCTTGTATCAAGAGAATCTTTGGGTAATCTTCATCAAAATTGTGTGTTGAAGAGGACGAAAATAAACATATGATGAACAATATTAAAACAAAAATCAACCAAATGTTTTAAGTCTAACTACTATTTTGCAACGAAAGAAAAAAAAATTAAATTTGAGCATTTGAAGAAAAAAACTGTATATCTCTTAAATCTTAACAGTTTGCATATGTCTCTCTATCTAATGATTCAAAATATAGATATTTTCCTCTTCATGTTAATATTGGTTCGGAGCCTTGCAACGAATCTCCAAAAATGTCAACAATTTGTCATCAAACGAAAGTCAGTTCCGTGTGTGTGTATCAAATTCATACATGTGTCGAACTTCAATCGACGATATAATCTGTTATTTCTATATTGTATTCCAATTGCTGGTCGTTTTCTTGAATAGCGAAAACAACGAGCGGCAATAAACAAAATATTTTAAGCGACTGGCTGCGTGAGCTAATATTGTCAAGTGACACGTAAAAGCACCTCATCGTATTTTTTGTCGGCTTCTTCAGCAAGGAAACGGGCTTCTTTCAATTGGTTTTCAAGAGCGTCCATACGTTCTTCATCGGCCAATGAGCGATTTTCCAATACTTTGCGAGCACTGTACGTTACGCGCAAATGAAAAGAGAGAGAGAGAGAGAGAAAAACGCGAGACAAAATTAGTGTTTTGTTGCAAAAGACGATGATTTTTTCGTCGTTGATCCAACGTTGTCCACGGGTGTTGATCCTAAAATGTGCTGAAAAAAAGAGAGCAATAAAATGATCCCTAACCAATTTTGTCCCTATCAATCAGTTTGCCATCGGCAAACTACCCTAAACACATTACACATCCCCATGTGTGTATGTAGAGTGAAAAACGGATCTACCTCTTCGTATTTTTTATCGGCTTCTTCAGCAATTAATTTTGCTTGCGCTAATTGTTGCTCCAACACGCCTACTCTATCATCTTCCATGTTAGTTCGATTTTCAAGCGCTTTACGTATCCTATTTTACGATGCAATGTTGGACAAAAATATTAAAATTATAGACATCTCCTTTCAATTTAAAACGACTTCTCCTTCTTTTTTCTAATTTTTTTGTCAAATAAATTCAGCTGAAAATGTAAAATAAAATACCAAAAAAAAAGTTCGATTCACAATCGAAACACCTACCGTTCACTTTCGTCAGCAGCTTGAGATGCTTCTGAGAGTTTGGCTGTGGCTGATCCCAAACGTTCTTCCGAACGTTCCAAATCTTCTTCGAGCAATTGAATGCGACGATTGAGAGCGGCTACTTCAGATTCAGCCTAAACCATTAAAATTTTGTGGAGTTTAGCGTCAGTCAAGTTGTGATATATACGCATCACATGAATTTTTTCTACTTTTTGTTACAATTTGTAACTCAAATTTAAACAATTTGCCATGTAAAATATGATGGTATGGCCAAATACATTTTTTTTTCTTACAAAAATTAATTTCTCCACTCTCTCAATGTATATCATTACTTTTTATAACAAAACTGATATTTCATAACGAATTTAATTTATCGATCCAAACAAGTGAGAACAAAAAAACAAAGTTGCAAGTAAACAAAACAAATGGTTCACAATACACACAATGTGTATTACACATTCAAATGCGTGAAACACAGTTAAACGATTCGAATTGCTTTGATCGCACAATTTAATCGGACGCAGAAAAAAATGCTCTACATTTGTGCTGTGAAGCAATTATCCAAGTAGACGAAGCGTAGGGAAGAGAAACGGATTTTCTCCAATGACTTTTTTTTCTTCTCGAGACTGGCATTTTTAACGCGGGGCTTAGCCACGGAGCCCATGTGAATGGAATAGATTGGAATTAGATGCGAATGGAATGAAAAAAAGGGGGAAAATAGGCGTGAAATATGAATTATTCCGAAATTTTCAGCATTTTTTTTTTCAATAAAATTGCTCAAAAAGACGATTTTTGGTTACGTAAAATGTGAAATTGGGCAAAAATGCTTATCTTCTTTGTGGTTTGTCGCGTTGAAATATCTTCTTTCTTTTTAAGTTGTTTTCATAGTTATATGAAAACTTAAACTTTTGTTTTCAATTCGAAAATACTATATCCGGCTTTTGTTTCGATTATGGTCAGTCTTCGTTTCGATTGAGGTAGTTTTGGTTTAGCTTATCTTCTCGAAAGAAGCCGATTTTGCCTAAACGAAGCCATGGGCTCAAAGTGATAATCGAGCACTCTTTCTTTGGATTCAAAGTGATTCTTTCGTCCAAAATTCTATAGAATTTCCGATAGATCTAAAAATTCGTTCTTTTCGGTCAATTCCGGAATGCAATTGCGTAGGAGTGTCGTCTAAATCAAATGAATTCATATCGTTTAGTCATATTTCAAACTTCCTCTAGTTTGTCACTTAAAAAAAGTCCGTCTCTAATTCCGAACAAGCACCAATTGTGTGTATAAAGTAGTGAGATGTGAGCCCATATTTTAAATTCGATACTTGTGTGTTTATTCTATTTTTCTTTCGTTTTTTCCATAAACAAGCATCGAAAGAAGCGAAAAAAGAACGAACAGTTGACGACAGTTCGAAAGTTGAATGGAACAATGAACAGAATCGTGAAACAAACAAGTGCATTGTTTCCATGTTTGTACGTGTTGAATGTGTTCTAACGCGGGTCCGCCGGTTACAAGTTAAAAACGCGAAAGCGGAAGCATTTGATGATACAATTTGATTGCCGCCCATGAAACGGTTCCATGAGCAGCACACAGGGCGTTCATTTTTCAATCAATTCATGTAACACAGTTTTTCGTCATAGAAGAAAACGATGAGCAGCTATTTGTAACATATATGCATTGGTATTGAGAGATATTTGTGCATCTGTTTGATTCGTTCTAATTTTCACGATTAAACCTCCAAGGTTTTTGTGAATATACAAAGGTATATATATGTCTCATATGTTGATAAAATTGTCGACGAGCAACAAAAAAATGACGATGAGAGAAAAAAAACACGACCGAAACAAAAACAGAAAAATGATTTCATTTGACAGTGAAATAAAATCTCAATGCTTAAGCCGTGTATTCATACTTGGTTCACCTTGATATTGAAACAGAAGCCGACCGCCATTGTTTCAAAGCCGCCTAGCAGACTTCTGTTTAACTCTCTTCTTCTGCTGCTTTTTTGAATAATATTCTTTATGAAGTCGATTCCATTTCATTTGTTGACCATTTCGTTTTTGTTTTCGAGCCGAACCAGAAAATGAAATATTACGTCAGAAGTACGCATGCGCCGTTGTTCAATTGGCCATTCAGCGCTTGACCAAATAACAAAAAAATGATACAAATTGTTTTAAGGCATTCGCCTACTTATGTTTCATACTTTTTTTGTTGTTGTTGTTTGGTTCTCTCGCTTCTCGTTGTCATTTTATGTGTGTCAAAGTCACGAATTTCGTTTTCTATTTACGACCATTTTTGAGAAATATAGCCATTTGTTTCCATCCATTTATAGAACCAGCTGGATTGATTTTACATTGACGATTCACACACATACATGTGCATCATTTGGAATTGAATCAATTTTTTTTTTTCGAACAATCAATCTTCGAAGCGTCGATCAATGCTTGGAACATCGATCAATTGTGTGTGAACTAGCATGAGAATAGTTTGATTGGATCCGCACTCTCATTTTGGGCATCAACTTAATTGTTGGGAACAATTTGACATGCGGCCGATGTTGAGCGTAAATTTGATTGTGTGAAACGACAAAAGCCATTTAATTGACGCGCTAAATCACTTTATCTACCTGATCATTGTGCCATTTTCAGCGTAAATGACGTACACCGCCGAAAACTACCAAATAATTACAATCGTGTGTACAATCGAGATGACGTCATCGTGACTTTTTTTAACGCACATGTTGTTAAAGTTTTCAACGCACACCGATGTTTAAAAGCGTGCTGTTGAAGAACGCGGCACTTGAAACGCGCTATGAATTTGTTTAGCTTAAAATTTAGCCGCTAAATGTTTGCTTTCGAGACTTTTGACGACGAATGACTTTTTGACGAAGAGCCAATAGTAAAGTAGAAAAGAACATTTAAAACAATGCTGAAGAGATGAGTGATTTGGTTTTTATTTGAAGAGACGAGATTTATTCTGATACAAAATATGACGAGATGTCAACTTTTGGAACTCAAGTTCCAAAATTCACAGAATTTCGCTGTGAAAATATCAACGTTTCATCTATGTTTGAAACTAAGCTCACTTAATATATCATCTTCAATAAAAAATAAATAGCCTCTAATTCATCATACCTAGGCAATTATTGTTGACGTTTAGAACAAACACGAAACAAAATTCAAGCAAATATTATTATTTTTTCGCTCGAATGTTTTGTCGCTCTTCTGATTACATTCAAATGGATGAAGCATTGTTTTCGTCTTCTACTTCCCGTGAGATACAAGATCTTCTTCAAGTTTTAAACATCGAAATGGTTGAGTAATGAGTTTTAAGATCTCCATATTATGTTACAAATTTCCTCTCGAAGCGAGTTTTGACGTTGAGAGATAGAATTGAGACTCTCAGTTGAAAAAGGGAAACGTTGAGAAAGAGAGAGAGACATCGTTTGAAAGAGTCGGTTTTACATAAGTCGAATTTACATAGGTCTCTATCGCGTTGAAGAGAGTTTTAATCTGATCAGAGAGAGTCAATGTCAAACGAGAGTTTTTTTTTTTCATTTTTCGAACGAATTTTATACTTTTTGAAGACTGAATGAAGTCACGTAAGAAGGTCTCTCTATTTCTCTTGGTCTCGTTTTGGTCCCTTTCTGGCCTTTCTTTGTCTCTTTCTTTGTCTACATTCGAAAACTTATCGCTAGACCGTAAACTTCATTAAATAATTCTTAATAAATCGAAAAAGCCAACGAAAATCGAATGAAATCATATGTTTCGAGGAAAAAAAAGCATCTAGCACTTGGAATCACGGCATGGCACACAAATGCTATTGTTCTATATATCCATTGAAAATGGCATTGGTATAAATTTCAACGTGAATGATTTATTATGCGATAAAATGTTGAACGTTTTACTCATCCCATCGCTGGCAGCGATAAATTTCGTATTTATGGTGTTTTTATTGCCTTCAAATGTAGCTCAGTGTTTGTTGAGTTAGTTAAATGTGGCAAACATTCCGCACAGCCGTCCAATGAACGAAAAATCGATTCATGTAAGAGAGAAATACAGTTTTTGGCCATAAGTAATTGTATCCAATAAATATGAATGACTTAGAATTCTTTTTCTTCTGTACGAACAGTAAATATTGGGTGAGCTGAATTTTAGTAGTAATAAAAAAAATATTTCCCTAAGTTCTGCGTTATGCATTTTCGGTGCTTTGTGCGCTTCATGAGTATGTACGTCAATTGCGATTGTACACGCAATGATATGTTTGCGGGATAAAAAAATACGGTTTCGTTGAGCATATTTAGCACTTTCATGCAGTAATCACAAAAGCCATCATGCGTAGTCAGGCAACGCGCGCGACTATTTGTAGATATTATCTTGCCACAGTTGCACATTTTTTCGATTTATTTTTTGTTTGTTCATTTGTTCATTTTTTTTTGCGTTGTTTTGGCATAAAATGCCATTTCTTCCGCTGTACGTTTTTGAATCGCGTTTATAAAATACGGGTAAATCAAGAGGCAGAAACACTTGTCTTAGCCACTTTGAGAAATGTATAATTAAACATGCACGCAAAATTGCAATCGTTAAGGATTTTGTTAAAGCGAGAGAGAATAAAATGCCATGCACGAACAAAACATGCTTTTGTTTGCGGTGCAAATGGCAAGAAATTTGATCCATTTTCGAGTGATGATTGTTTTTCGAATAGCTCGCTAGGCAAAAACATAAGCGCAAGTAGTATATATCGTCTGTATATTCCAGATATGACTAATGTACGATATTTATCGCAACCTTGTAATTTGAAACAATATTGCTCTGTGAAATGTGTGGTTGGATATGGGTGAGAGAGAGCGAGAGAGCGAGGCAAAAGAATGTGATCTAAAGATGATTTTTGTGCGTTGGAATGCATATCAAGCAGTTATGAGCTCAGTATATCGCAATCTTGATTGGAAATTCACATGATGCCGATTTCATTAAGGCATACCCAATCCAAGTATTCATCGATATGAAGAAAAAAAAAACCGCACAATAACTCGATTTAATGAAATTAATCATTTCATGAATGTGCCTACTTTCTATTATATGCCTCAAAGTTGAGGCATAGTGCTATAATAAACTCTCTCTCTCTCTCTCTCTCTCTGGCGGTCGATGAGTTTGCTGGAGTTTGTATCGAAGCATTATGCAATCATCGGCGCGTCACTTATGCCAGCGTATATGTGACACAAAACGCTCACCAAAAAAAGACGTTCGTTTTTTTGTTCGTTACCGCTATCACACTTGAGCTCTTGATGAAAATATTTTTCCATTTTATTTGTTGTTGTTGTTGTTGGTGAGTTGTGTATGCTTTAATCGCAAATTATATGTAACGTCAACATATATAAATGGCACCGTATTTCCACCTTTATCTCTTTCTCTGTGTTGTCGCGCATTTCTCGGTTTCTGAATCGGCCCTCCGATTCTTGTGCTTTGTACACACATTCCATACCGGTTGTTGGCGGTCGCATTGCTTTTGTTGTAATTGAATGAAGTGTGTGGCATCAATACATTGGAACCGGTCGCGCGCGCTGTGAATGAGCCAACGACAAGAGGAAGAGACGGTTTTCCAGAGAGTGAGAGAGAGAGAGAATGAGAAACACACTCACAACAAACACACTACAATGCAGCTCTCTCTCTCTCTCTCGGTGTGTGAGTGTGTACCGGGAGGAAAAAGTGAAACAAGAACAACCAAATAGAAATGATTACATGGGCATACATTTGTTTCGAAAAATTGTATGTGTTGTTCCTTCTTTTTTTCGCTAGAATTTAGCGATTCGCTTGGAAATTCAAACTTGAAATTGGTTTGTCTGTTTGTGTGTTTGTTCAACACACAATTCAATTTGATAGCTGCATGCAAATGGTCACAAGAGAAACGAACGATGGGCGCTTTCGTTGGTGTGTTGCTGTTTCAACGGTAAAGAAGAAAATGCTGACATAAGCAATCGAAACATAGAGAGAGACTATAAAATGCAAAGAGACTAGTTCTAGTCGCAAGTTTTATGCACCGGATAATCTATCCAGATAGACACTTTCTTTGTACACGTAATGGTTAGATTCTAGTTTTCGTGATGATGGCAAACAGGCATGCTCAAGTCAAATACTAAATTCTGCTCTCCAGTGGAGTAGTATCATTGTTCGAACTAATGATAGGAAATTCTCTTGGTTCGAACAAATCGAGTGTTGTATTTCTGTTTCTGGATTTCTAATGGTCTTGTCATAATAATAATAATAATTGACCATATTTTTGGTTGAACAACGACCGTTTGAAATAATGTTCGATTCATTTAGGAATGGTCTTTAATGGTTGTGAATGGTCTTTTCAGCAAAATGAGTAAAATCGACGTTTAAGAACCGTCGTTCAAAAAATCGACGTTCAAATACCGTCGTTTAAAAAGAGTTTAAAAGAGTAAGGAAGAGCTGAATCCAAAAAGAATTCTTTTCGTCCAACTATTTTCATTCTTCGATAGAAATGCGGTAATTTGTGCAAATTGGCAATTCGTCGACCTTTTGGCTATATTAGGTTCGTGGGTGACGATAATCGTCAATACCGAAAAAAAGGCCTATGGCAATAAATTCATTTGCATCGAGTTCAATTTCACTTGGCTAATTACAACGAACTCTCTTGAACATGTTCATTTAACTTATTGCGTTTTTTTTATGTTCATATTCAAATTTCATTCGTAGTTTTGCACAGCGAATGAGTAATTTTTGCCTGAATTGGGACGTTAGCTTGAATGAAAAATCAATCTGAATGCGACAAATAAACACAATGTTGGTTTATTTTTTTGCCATTCGCAATGTATGAATACAAATCCATGTTGAACGAAACGCGTTCCGGCAAGAGGTAATTTAGCTAAAGTGTGGATTGGATTGGATTGGTAGCTATATGTGTGTGTGTATGAGTGTGTGTCGCTCACACTGAATGGGTTCGCTAAAAGCGGTGTTGAATGTTGGGTCGCTCTTTTTCTTTTTCTCTCATTACGAATTATTAAAAGCCGGTCGTATCATTTTCAACGTACACTTTTTGTTATTTGCTTCACTCTCTCTCTCTCTCTCTCTCTCTCTCTCTGTCGCTCTCTCTCTCTGTCGCTCTCTTCGTAACGTTCATCCATTTTGATACTTTTCTGTACGGCAACGACGACAACGAGGAAGACGAAGTAGAAAAAAGAGTATACACAAATTAAGTCATCGGAAACATGGAGAATATTTTAAACCCATACACACATCAGGCGAAAAAAACTAACTAACGTACGCTTTGGTTCGTGTTTCATGCTATTTAGACCACAATCAAATATATTTGTTTGTTGGCACCACACACTTCGGCCAAACTGAACATCATATCGTTTCTTGTAATTTATATCGATGTTGTTGCGTCGCCGTCGTCGTCGTCGTCTTCTTTTTGGGTTATAAATTGTACTAGAATGTCCGCATGCATGAAATCGATCGTGCCACATATACGGAAAATGATGTTTTCAATGACCCACCATTGTGATTGATGTGTGTGTGTGTCTTTTTGAACAATTTTTCTGCTGAGAAAACAGAATTTGATGGGTTTTTAGCACCGGATTTGGTGTCAATTGTAATCGGAGAGAAGTTTCGTGCTAGCCGGTGTTATTCAAGACGTTCATTGAACGTGACACACTCTGTGTCGTTTTGTATGGGAAAAAATCGATATCACTGCGAACCATGATATGAATCATGTCAACGAGGTGAAAATGTACAGAGAATGATATGTTGAAATCGGTTGTCAGAACCAATGCGGACGAAAATCATTTGTCAGAACCATTTGGAACCAAAAAAAAAGTCATTCGTCAGATTCATCGACGGCAAGAAAAATTCATTTGTTAGATTTATCGAGTGCGAAAAAAAAAATCATTTGTCAAAGTAATTGAACAAAATACGTTGTTTGGATCGATTTTCTTGTAGAAAAAAAAAATGCAGAAAAAAATTGGGAATCAACTCACTTCTTCGCGGCGAATGATTTCGCCTTGTAAACGTTTTTGGTATTCTTCACATTCATCCTTATACTTCTCCATTTCTTCTTTCGTTTGGCGCATCTTCTTCTTCAAAACATCAAGAAGTGTGCCTTGTTGCAAATGGGTCGTCATTTTGTCTGAACTTTTTTTTTCTCGTTTATTTTCTCAATTAAAAAATTTGTGGTGATTGAATCACACAAAAATTGTTTTTTTTTTTGTATGTCACTTGAAAGAAAAATTTCACACACAAAATTCCTTTGACAAAAAAAGTAAAGAATGACGTGATGTGAAATATATTTTTTTTTTGTCGTATTCCAGTATCAATTCACTAATTTTTCCAATGTGCACACACGTACACTAAATTCCGAATTTTCAATCAACAATTTTCTCAAGTGAATTTGGTGCGCGGTTCTTGTTTCGTATTCTTTTTTAGTCGACCGAAGGGAAAAAACACGTATCGCACCCACTTTTCTCTCTCTTTCTCAATTGAAAAAAAATCGAACAATATGTAATCTCTAACACACTGTATGTTTTGTCGATAGAATGCAAACTGAACTGAAATTGCTACGTGAATATATTTTTTTGTTTGTCGACTTTGAAAAATGAATCAATTCATTGAATGCGATGTAAAAAAAACTTTTCGCTTTTCTTTAGTATCGAAGAATGAATAAATCGATATAAAAATACTGGACACATAAAAAAGTTGGATCGGACACAAATGAATGAGAATAAAACTGTACTACTGAGCACGAAACGCAAGTGACTCGCCCGAAACTTCAAAATGGCGAACCCGTACACACAGTGTATACATATAGAGAAAGAGAAAGAGCGTAAAGAGTCAAATTTATTGTATGGGCCCGAGTGTGTGCGAAAGAGGGAGAGAGAGACAATGAGTGAGAAACAACAACCACTGACTCCAAACAACTGAGCATGTATTATTTTAGATTGTGTTATAATGTTGTGTATGTTTCGGTGTTGCTGTTTGCCTCTTTTGCCTTCGTATAGCAGAGTGCTTTGCTAAGCGGTACATGGAACAAGAAGAGACACACAGGCAAACGTATGGGCTCTTGTGTATACTGGAGCGGTATGTGTGTATGTGTGCATTGACAATATATTTCCGAATATAGTATACACATACACAGCCATAGACACAGAGAGAGAGAGACATTGTATGTACGAACGATGCCTGCAGATAGACACAGTTGTTGGTGTTGGTTCGGTAGAACATGTCGGTAGAAAAATTTGAAACGACATCGTTTTCGGAACAACACCATGCGTAACAACGTTTGTTCGTGTCGATCTTTGCTGTGGCTCGGCTCGTCTCTTTTGTTTCAAATGCTTTTGACCTTAAATTGAATGGTTTTGCATGTATCTCGTGTACACGTTCTCTCTGCTTCTATTAGCTGGCTGTCTCTTTCGCACTCTCTACACCTGAATGTGTTGTGCGTGTTGTGCGATAAAGATGGGAATGTTGATGCGTACCAAGTGGCCGTAGCAAACGATCATCGATGACCAAACCGATTAGGTCGAGTTACGAATGCGAGAGAGAACAAGAGAAAAATCCCAAAAAGCAGCCGTCGAGTTGACTTTTTACAATGGGAAAAAAAGGTGAGGCACAATGACCAAATCTCTTTTACTCTTTCTCCCTGTGCCTCACTGCACACACTGAGCATCGAATTGCATCTATACGCGGAACAAATCCAATCGAATTGAAAAACAAACGTTGCGTTTTGAATCTAGATTGTGGCCGAGTGTGTGAGTCGCGCACTCACTGAAGTGCTATTTAATGTTTGCTGTTATTATTTTCAAATTGTTTCGCTCGATGCATTCGTACAAAAGGGAACAGGAACTGGTCGAATATGTCACATTCCCTTTCGACTGAAACGAATGGAAAAATCGAGTCACAAATTTATGCATATTCTGCATGCAAATGATTTTAATTATCGGCTACAACATATTTTTTCAATTCAAATGTGTTCAATAGAGCATGAACGAAGCCAAATTCATTGACCAAATAAGCAAACAAACCGATTTAAAATTCAAGTCGCAGCAAAATTTTGGTATTTTTTTTAAATAATTTTTTTTCTTTGGGTTCATTATTATTCAAGTGGGAATGCTGTATCAGCATAATCATTGCAAAATGAGCCAAAGACTCAAAATTTGGTTCAATTCTTAATGCAAATGTGCAAATTTTTTTTTTGCGGTTTGGTCGCATTCCTTTCAATGAACAGTCTTTATTAAAGACTTGAGCCAAAATCAACAGCAATAAAAACCAAACAGCTCATCCAAAATGCACCTTTACCTTTTTTTCACAAAGCGACGCCGTTTAATCAACTCGCGCTTGTTTATTTTCCATGCGCATCGTCGCTTTGCACGACATCGTGCACGATTTTCTATTCGATTTTTTTTCTCTTTGGATCGATTCGACCTCTCATGAATAAAGAGCAAAACAAATTATGACTACGGTACAGTCGCTAGTTGCGAGCTACACACCAACTCGGTGTGTACTGTTGAATAGTTTAATAGGAACGCAATCACACTAAATAGAACACAGATGGACAGACCGAGAAAAAAAACAACCGAATTACTGAATATGATCATGAGGTGGCTTGAAAGTCGGTACTTTGAAAGAAGTGAGTCTTGATCATGCATTTGTTTTTCGAACGCGAACTTGAACGGCAACATTCATTGCTCAATTTGCATTCAATGTGTTCAGTTTTTTTTCCGTGTCATCAATGTGAAATTGGCAGCTTTTCAACCAAAATTTGGAACTCTTTTTTTTAACTGATATTGCGAACTCTTGATTAAATTGGAATTTGATATGCGTCGAACCATAAAGAGCGTTAATTTATACCGAATTATGCCCATATGCGAAGTAACACATCGGTCAATAAGTCCCGAGCCTAACCACCAAGTGGCAACACTAATGTCAAACCCATATCATTTTCGAAAACTACAACCTTTTTTAGGAATCCAGTCAAAATTTGAGCCAAATCCGACCATCAGTTTGCTAGTTACAGCTATACGAGAGAAAGACTCCCGAAAATGCTTCAATTTTGCCGTTAAAACGGTATAACTTTCTTCTGATGCATTGTATTCAAGTATATTCATGTGGAGAGTTCAGAGAATGACCAGACCTAAAAAATACAATGGTTAGTGAAGCAGTTTGAAACCAATTTCGTTCAATTATATCACCATATAAACAGTTCTTTGACCTGGATGAAACTCGCATTTGAACAACATAGTTTTCTTCGCCAAATTTGCTATGTTTTATCAAGATTTGACATTCGGATAGGTCTAAAATGATGCATAAGTGACTTTTCATGTTGTTTTATATCTTTCCCACTGGTTCGCGAATATTTTTCTATACCTAAATCCACTAATAATGCCCGAACTCATATTTTGCGACCTTGGTCGCTACAAACCGTTTTTGGCGATTTCTACCCGCAATTTATAGATCGAATCTATTCAAATGAACTCAAAATACATTAATTCTAATATATAAAGGCAAAACCCTATTCAAATTTTACTTATACAGCTCCAAACGGGCTTCGAATCCCCAAAAAACTGTTCTATCTACTCCATATCCAAAAACGCGGCAAGGCTTTTTCGATTGAGTATTTCATATGCATATATCCATGCAAAGTTGTAACTATAGCTTGAGTTAGTTGCCCTATGGCCTTAGCAAATCTATGAACTATCACATTTGAGAATTCCGATATCACTTAACGGATTTTGGCAATGATTTCTTCCAAAACCACATATTTTGAACAATTTGGAGGCTTATCGACAAAATCGCTCTTATGGCTATGCATAAATTCAATTCTTCCATATCTAATGATTGATTTCGAAAGCCTAAGGATGCCATAAACTAATCATAGTATGGGTTTGGTACTCCTGCTCGTTTTTCTTCTGGAATACATGTGTCAAATCGAGAGGAGAAATGCAGTTTTTCCATGATTTTGGAAAATTGGAAAATTGCTTCATTTAAAGTGCTGTAATTAGCGAACTGATGGTCGGATTTGGCTCAAATTTTGACTGGATTCCTAAAAAAGGTTGTAGTTTTCGAAAATGATATGGGTTTGACATTAGTGTTGCCACTTGGTGGTTAGGCTCGGGACTTATTGACCGATGTGTTATTTAATGCGTTCGGTAATCACTTGGGAGTTTTTTTTTGCTTGTCGAATTTTTGCTCGCTTTAAAGAGAAAAAAATCGAACTAGGCTTTAGATTACCGAGTAAGTAAACTAAATATTATCAAGCTGACGTCACCCTTTTATTTTCTACGCACTTTCTCAATTATCTCGAGCTGTAAATACTTCTTTAGTGCGATATTTTATCAATTGAACGCATTCTCAAGCTATTAATAAGAGCCTCTCATTAATCAAACGAGTCGAGGTATATGAGGCGGTAGCATTTGATGGTGTAGTAAGCACAATCAATATGTGATAAGTAAATAAATCCAATTGTCGGAATATAATTATTTGGACAATAAGTTCAAAACAGTGAGAGACCCTCTCACTGAGAGTGTATGAAAGAAAAATCAACAATAATAGAACGGAAATTCAACAAATGATTTGAAAATCGACAAATAATTTTTTTTTGTTCAATGGTTAAACATTAGCTCGTACATAGCAATAAATCGACATTAATTGCATTTTTAGTACGGTCGATTTGTTATGGTTCATTGAATTTGAATCAAAACAAATTGTTTTCACATAATCGGCAAGTTCCCCCTTCGGAGTTGAACCAATCGTAAAAAAAAACTGGCTCATTCTCTTTTCACTCTGGGAAACTTCCGCTATTGGCATCGAAAAAATGAGAAAGATCAACTCTTGTTTAAAATGAAAAAGACCAACCAACTCTTGTTTTGGTCACCCAGCAATAAAAAAAAAAATTGTTATAAAATGGAAAGTATCGTCAATTTTTGGGGAGAAAAAAGCAAATAACAATAGCTAATCGTTTTTAAATGATTCGATGGGTTACAAAGTTGGAACGTCGTAACAAAAATGAAGCTACTTTACTGTAGCGAGCTACTTTATTGTGACGAATTGAATCGACTTGAATGGCGCCACGATGTTTTTCAGCCAGCATGTGTCATTTTCATATTTTTCCACAGGATTTTATGCGGTGCCATTGATTTGTTTTAAAGGCTGAAGTTTATATAAATGGTGTGATCTCATTTGAACGGCAGAAAAAAATACATGTTTTAATTGGCGCTATAGCTTCAGCTGCCGTGTATTTGCAACAACGACGACGATCCGTAAAAGGACAACAATCGTTATTATAAAATGATCGTTTGTGTTTCATTTTAGGATTTTTCTGTCGAGACAAAAGGAAAATTAGTCCATATACAACGAATGATTTTTTTTTCTCGATGAACAAATAAACAATTTCAGTAATGCAAGCGGCGGCGGTGCGATCATTGATCGGCGAAAAATTAGCACAATGCAAACACAATGGCAACCAATCGGTTTCTTTTTTTTAGCTTTGAAAAAGCATTTTTTTTGTATTGATTTGTTTTTTTAACATCTTTTTTCGTACTGAAAATATCTGTTTCAAATACTGAAATCTGTTCGAAGTACAAAAATCTCTTTGAAATGCTGAAATCTGTTCGAAGTACTGATTTCGTTGTTTATTTGTATTTGAAAGTGTACGTGAGATTCTTCACCTAAAATGAAAATCATGTCGAATAAATTGAAAATGTAAATTTTGCTACACATTAAAATGATTCATATAAATATTTGCGATACGAATCACTTTGGCTCTGGCTTGGCATGGTGTGTCTTATCGGTTGTGTACATGTCAAGTACTAATGAGATCGACAATGTTTACTATCAGGTCTATATGTATTTCTTATTCGTCGTTCACACAATGAAATCACTGATAGAACTGAAATGCTATGTCTAGCTTCAGTATGTGAGCACTGACATTTTTAAATGAATAAGTGATGTCATGTATAATAATTTCTCTTTTAACTAACGAATAAACGAGAAAAAACACCACACGCTTGAACAAATTGAAGTAAATTGAAGAATGTACGTGTTTTAAAGCGAACGACACGGAATCAGTGTCAGCAGCGAATAGAATGAAAATAATGTTACACAACGTACGTTCCACGAAAGGTATTGATAAGACGATTTTCATACAAAAAATCCACCAGCCGATTGCGTGTCGTGACAAAGTAAACACCATATTCTACAGTTAAAACTGTAGAATGTACACTTTGTTGCACTAAATCGAATTTCTGAATCTGTTTGAAAAGAAAAGAAATTAATTTTGTCGAAAAAAAAGTGTTTTGGCTTGAACAAACCATCGTTCAAATACAATACCAAACCCAAGAAAACCACCATCCATTTGGTGTCCAGATTCGTTGAATCTTGCTTCGTTACACATACCCGTTTCAATTGTGTTTTCATAATATTATGCAATTCATTTCGGATGATGTTCAACTTCATCATGGTATCCGAGCTGAAAATGCTGCGTCCGAATGCAAGGCCTGGATAATCGGCGCACCTTCGATTTTGTCGCCGATATTCACGTTCGGCAACAACTTCGGCTCTTTCACTGGTGCACCGCAACTTCGACCATTCAGCGGCTTCGGGATCATTCTCCATGTCGACAGTGCTATCGTTTTCGGTCCATTGATCGGCATCAGCACCTTCTAATGGCGGTCGTTCTTCGGCCGGTGGCAAGTTTTTGGTTTTTTTACTACGTTTTTCCTTTTTAGCACCACCACCACCACTACCCAACTCTGCATCCGTCTTACTTTTCTTCGATCGCTTCGTTTTTGATCGGCTGCCCGAGCTACTGTTACTGCTTATGGAATCATTTAGTTCGTCTTTCGTCGATTCCATGTCAATATCACTATGCAAGGCACCAACTGAATCTGCGGCCGCAGTTAACGTTTCAGTTCCGCTATCACGGCTTATCACATTTCTTTTGTTCAGTTGCTCGTTTGTGGAATCAATCAATATACTCTTCGATACTGTGGCTAATCTATTGTTTTTGTTTAAATCATCGATAAGCGTATTATTTGTTCTGGTATCTGCGCTGCTGCTATTTGTTTTACGATTGCCATTTTGATCAGTCGTTACATTGTCATCGGCTGAATCACAAATAAGTAGCTTATTGGTTGCCGTTGTTGCATTGTCATCAGTCAAATGTATATCGATATCACTAAAATTGTGTGGTAGTTGCTCGGAAAATGGTTGAAAGGTTTGAGTGATGGGTAGTTGATCACCTCGACGTAATGCAGCAATCACTTCATCGGCACGTACAGTTGATGGTCGTGTACCACTGTTTCGAATGTGATGTTGATGTCCTCGTTTTCGACCCGATCCACTCATCGATGCAATATTACTTGTTATCGGTTGTTCAATCCCGTCCGTTGATTCATCCATATTTTCATAGAATTTTTTCTTTCCCTAGATACACATTTACTTTGGACGAAAAAGAAGAATGTTTCGTAGTGAATTTGGAAAATTTTCCGTCAAATTAAATAAAAAAAAAGTGTTGCTTACGTTCCGATCTAGCAGCAGCAGCAGCAGCAGCAGCAGCAAATGTTTAAAAATTCTCTCGTTTCGTGTTGTTGACCGTTGTTCTTTCGATTATCATACTAATTTACTTTTAATAGTGGCCATTATTTTAAAATAAAAACCATTCCCAATGGTTATATTGATTTAATTTCAGCTGAATAACTTTTTCTTCTTCTTTTACTTCGGATATTTTTATATTACTAGTTGCCCAATTGACGTTTCAAACAACGAAAAAAAAAATTGATGTTTAACTACATACGTCAAATACATACGAAGCGTGATCGTGTGTGGATAATATACACGATTTCGAGAATATGTGTGTGCATTCAATATGTTTGCGTGTTGTATAGTTTCGTTGTTACCACCATCTGTTGGGCGTGTCTGGTAGCACGGGATAGTAGAATAAAAAAATCATTCGTTTTAAACCGTTTAAATTTAGCTATGATTCGTTTTCACTGCTTGCGCTCGTATACACACAGACACGTTTCAGCAAAATTTCTTTAATTTTCACGCAAAATGTTGTTTTTGTAAATTCAATTTTTTTTTGGCGTAGATTCACACAGTTGCCGTTGATGAAGTGAAAATCCAAAGAAACGAAAATATTTCGTGAAAAATATGTACTGTTTTGTTGTTCACAAATCCAAGGAATGATTCGTCGTTTCTCCACTTTTATGTAGGACCGAACTGATGTCGTCGACGTTTTCGTCAATACCAAGTGTCGATGTGGACACACCAATTTTATTTTCGGCTTTTACGTTCGCTTTCACTCTCTTTACTATCTCGTCTTGCTCAAACGACTGTGAACTTTAAAATGTGGAACACTATTTGGTGTAACGATCAATGCATAATCTGCGCTTTTTACGGTAGAATCAATGCGAATGCGAAGTGAATGCACATGTGTATGCTTCTTCTATGTCTATATGCTGTTTGTCCACATCGCTTGGTTGTTTCTTTATTTCGTTTCTGCGGCCGAACAAATGGTATGTGCGTTTTTAGATGGACGAGTGTATGTTTTTAGCTACTTTGTTTCGATGGAAAGCCATCACGACTGTCGATTCAAATGCATGTGTGGAATTTGATGTAGGAACAACTCATCGCGGTTTGCCCGCATATTGTACGACGGCATCGGTTGTAATCGGTTATTTTTGGCTGATTTTTGCGTTTTTTTTCTTCTACGCGTCGCTTTCAATTCCGATGATGTCTCTAAGTCGGCAGTCTTCTCCGCCGTCGCTCGAACTATCAGCGCCACAATACCGACCAAACCGTTGTATTCGTATTCGGAACGTGCCGTATACATGACTCAAAAATAACTTATCAAGGAGAATGAGATTGAAACGGTCGGCAGTTGCGCAAAGCAAGATTTACTGAACCAAACATGCATTTCGGGTGATATAATATCAGGTTGATTGCAATTGAACGATTATTTTAACAGATTTTTGATTTTGGTTTTTTTTTCGCACACACCACTCTGGGTGTGATGATGTATTTTATATCAAAGCCTTTGATTCAAAGAAGATTCACATTCGAAGCCACGTATCAGAGATTATGCCCCTCTGAATTGAATTCGATCAATTTTCGCACCATGATTAGGGCGCACATCTTATTTTTAGATCATTTACGCTCAGTTGAACACATGAACATGTTTATTCGCAACGTTTTTTCGTGAGAGTAGGCGTATTTTTTTTTTTTAATGAACAACATTCAAGTTTGAGATTTCGATTGTAAATTAATTGAAATGATTGTAAACACATTTGTACGAAAAGAGATCAATTGGATCGTTTTGGATTTTTTCCAAATACGTCGAACTAAATTTTTTTTTCAAATCTACGGATAGTTTCGTTTCGAAGCTGAAAAGCGATCAGCGATCATGGGAGAGGTCATATTTAGGCTACTTGAATTCATATTAAACCATACTCAACGAATAAATGGTTGATTAAAGCATTCTGGAATTTGGTTTTCTTGAGCCAAATTCTCTTCTAGAATTGAGTTAATTTTTCAAGAGTCTCCCGAGATCATCTATTTCCGAATGGAAATTTTCCGGCATGACCAGGCTCGCTAGTTGACTGAAGCCAATAAAAATTTGTTTGAAAAATCATAAAATCAAATCACTCAAAAATTCCAGAATGAAAATTGGATCAATTGGTTTTCCCAGATGAAAATTGGCTTTTACATTTAAATTTCCATTTAGCATGACCAAAACGAAATTAATTTCAATGAACTATTGAATTTATCACAGCGGAAATAGGGAGCCGGTCAGCTGTGGAGAAAAAGAGAACAGAAAAAATACCGAGAATTCTTTCCATCTCAAAAGAAGTCGCCATGTTTTTCACATTGAAAGAAAAACAGAGTTTGAATGACGTGTCCCAATAAATGTTGACTAACGAAAGATTTACGATTTTAATCGTGTTCGGCACGTCATTCGATTCGTGCCGCTTCGCTCCGCACAGATTATAAATAGAACTCATGAAAAGTGTTCCCATTTGAAACATAGAACACGTACGTCATATGTTGTTCATTCGATGCGAGAATTCCAAATGCTTGTGAGCGTTAGGAGGAAGGAAAATTCCTAAATAAATCTGTTTTGTGTATTTTAAACGTATTTTTCATGCCTGAACATTGGTATATTCTCGTAGGCGATAATGGAGTTTTTCGTGTAGGTATGGTTTTCATACTAAATCCAGTAACATAAGATTGTATTGAATTTTCTGAAGATTTTCAGTTAAAAATCCTACAGATTTTCAAACAAATTTTTTCTAATTGAAATTATCAGTTGTTATGAATGGAGTTGGATCGATAAATTGTTATGAATGTCCTTTCCTCTCCATCGAGAAAATGTTCGTTCAAGATTTAAAAAAAAAACGGTAAACGGTGTACTCACGTTTTGCAAAGCCTTGTTCTTTTCGTCCAATTTGGTGTTAACTGTAGTGAGAGCTTCTTGTGTTTGATCAAGTTCGTTCTCAACGGTTTGGATCTTCTTTTGGAGTGAACGAGCTTCTTCTTCGGCCTTTGGTTGATAGAAGAAATGAAATTAGTTGATTTGATTTCAAGAATTTTGGCGATGAATTGATGGATCATCATAGTTGATCAAACAATGAAGGTCAATTTAATGCATTCTAGTGCACATTGATTCAATGATTCTTTTTTTTTATATCCACACTCACCTTTTCGGCACGAAGGTTAGCATCACGGGCTTGTTGTTCGCAGACCAATGCACGATCTAAGGCATTGTCTTTTTCAAGCTTCATAGCTTGCATCTTCTTCTTAATGGCGTCCATGATAGCTGCTGGGTTTTTTTTGACTTTCACACAAAAAAGCTCTGAACAAATTCTGAAAATGCGTTAAACACACGAAATTAATCATTGATGACATTTAAATTTGAGTGTCCAATTTGTGGTGGAATTTGATAATGAATCCATTGTCATCATATGCCGGCAACGTATTTTTCTTTTCTCATTTGAATATCACTATCTTTGGGATGTATGCATTAAATAACATAATCGAGTCATTTAACATTCACTGCGGCAACATTTAAAAAGTGAGTCATCACTACCATAAACGACGGTATTTTTAACTTGTGTTAAGGTCATGTGTCACTGTCATCACATCACGTGTGATAGCTCATAGTCTAGTCAAGCGAAGAATAGTTTCTTTTACAAAACTAGTCTCTTTTTAAATTAAAAAGAGGTAAAAATGGGTTATATCTGACGAAAAAAACAACCGAATTATTGTTTTGCATGCTCAAAGGTTCTGTTTTATACCTAAAAATAAAAAAAATTGTCGCTGACATTTATAAATATGCCTTCAAAACTAAATGGAGCCATGAAAAAAAGAGTTGAACACCACAAAAAATGCATTCACATTTGCCACGAATTGGGTGACATTGAAAAGAGTCAATCTGTGTGTGCAAAGGCCTAAATTCAAGTGGATTTACGCACTTTAATTGAATGATTTAATCGTATGACAGGCGAACGACGTGAAAAAAAAACCATAAACAATATTTCTCAGGACCAAAAATGGAAATGTTTCACAAAACTGGATCGCGTTGTTTTGGCAGTCCTAACAAACGGCGACAGCATAATTCACATAATTATTTTGTCGGGCAGAGAGAGAGAAAAAAAATGAAGAATTTCAATTGATTTTGTCACCGTTGCCAATGATGAATAATAATTGTGTGAGCTGTTTGTATGCGAATGCATGGCGGTTATGTCATAAACGCTGGGTGAATTTCTCTTCTTTCTCCATGATGCATGGAACAGCATTCCAGCATTAATCAGCAGACCAGAAAAGAAAGATTGTTGATTTTTTTTTTTATTGCAAATATAAACCATTGCAATTTTAATGGGTATCAGCGAGTTTATTCAGCTTTTTTTTTCCATCGCTTTGTACAATTCTTCAATGCTACAGAGATCCGGAGACCCCATACACAATCACACGAATGCACACAAACACTCACAGTGTTGCGGCTAAAAGAACAAAGGAATGAAACGAAAGATGAAATACAAAGAGTAAACACACACACACACACGTACACCGCGTTGAATCGGCGGCCCTGACAAGGCCGTCGCCAAGCATAAATAAAACAACAACAACTGCTGCTGCTGCTGTTGCTGGTGATTCAACTGATGTAGTTGTTATGGTTATGCGGTTTCGTTTCCATACACGGTAATGCCTTCGTGTCGTGTGTATATTTATTTTTGCAAGGTAAAATGAGATATAGTGTGTGTGTGTGTTTTTTTGCTCTGTAAGCTGTGATTCGCTCACTCAAATGTGAAATACCGCAGTAAATTGTCTGAAACACGGAGAAAATTGTAAAAGTAAACAACGAATGAATGAACGAACGAAAAATCGTTGATTAAATAAAAGTGCAGCGTGTGCGCGGTTAATGTACGTTTTTTGTGTGTACAGTGTACACCGTTTGCCGACGGTATCGCTGAATGGTACAATTTTTCCAAAAATTTGCAACACAAGAGTTTTTTGTGTGTTATTTTTGAAGAGTGAACATTGAATTTTGGTGCTGGTGTGAAACACTTTCGCAGTGTTAGGCATCCCAAGTGGTTGATGCTTGATGTACGAGTCAAATGATCACTCTCGTTCACTTGAATCAACTCATCAGTTGATCTGACGGCAATGCTGAAACCGCGAAATGAATATGCCATCCATATCAATTTTCAAAGATTCAACAACTTCCCAATCACAGCAATGAAGATTCAACATGAAAAATCGTTGTTTTTATGAACATCTCTCTCTCTCTCACTCCCAATTACGAAAAAAAGATGAGAAAATTCAATAAAAAATCGCATCAATGTCGGTTAACGTTGTTTTTTTTTTCGAAGCATACCAAGAGAAACCGTTTAGTCATCTTAAATGATTAAATGTTTCGTTTAAATATGACAAACGGAAAAAGTGCGAAAAATACTTTTCAAAATCGGCAGATTGCGTGTTTGGCTACGCTTCTTTTTTCTGGCATGCATTTTCCGTTTTTTTTTGCGAAACGATCTTCAAACGCCATGCCATTTCTTTTTCTTTCCTCTATTTTACACCTTGTATTTCATGTTTGCATTTGCCGCATTGCGCGCGCTGCAGTAAAGCACCAAGATTTAATTACAATATTAGAAAAATCACAGTGAAAGAAAAGAAAAAAATAATAACATTTTTAATGGGCAATTTACGCTGTTCCAGTCGAAAGCATGCTATTGATACGGACCAATTACCGGCTACGAGGCTTATTGTTGTTTCGCAGCCGATAAGTGAAAAGATGATGTTACAATTGGCCTTTTTTTGTGAAGTGAATGGCGGTTTTCTTTACTCAGATGAACGAGGGGCTAAAGTTGGTGAATCGAATAATTTTTACTTCTTTCTTGTACCGAGCACAAGCAATTCGGCGCAAATTGACGATTTTTGATCATCATTACATACATTCACATTTAGGTGATTAAGGGCAATTTTCAATACACTTCAAGGTGCTTGACTTACACGAGAAACGCTGATAAGGCCAACGACTGTTTCTACTTTTTGACTGATATTGAGTTTTTTGAATTGAAATTTGAAGGGAGATGTATCATACAATGTATTATATGATTCATACAATACCACCTATGGCTCTCACCAAATATGGTCCATACGCTATGAATTATAATCCATTGATAATTATTAAAATGAAAGCAGCCATTTATTGAGTTCGAAAGAATTCTCGTGATTTTTGATCTAGCGAAACGTCTTTGAATCTGAAATTTTTGCTATTTCATGCGACTCTTGGTCTTTTTTACTCAAAATTTCGAAATTATCCCAGGTCTAGTGGGAAATTTCATCCAATTTATGGATGATGTGGAGTATATTCTAAGGTTAATTGCATCCTGAGTATATTTTTGGTGATCAACATTTGAAAATTTCCGCATGAAATTCGAGAAATTCAATTTTTTATCCACCATTTGCCAAAATCTCTTTTCAAGCTCTTGCTTGAAACATTGGGAGATGATGACTTCGATTTCAACCAACTTCCGCCAGGTTTTAATTCGTTGTGAATATTTTTAGAATCGTCAGAGAGTGAAAATTTCTCACTGAACAATTTGGAAGGTGTAAAGGTCTTGCAATTTTAATTTGGTCATCATCAACTTAGATTTTTTTTCAGTCACATTTTTTAAAATTAAAAACCAAAGATTCTATGTCATTGGCAATTTTTTTCGTTTAAAATTAAAAACGCATTATTATGCTTCGTATATATATTGAAAATCAAACGTCGTAGCTTGAATCAACATACATTTCGCTAATTATGTGTGAGAAAATGTCGATTTGCTATTCTTCAGAGGCGAAAATTGGTTCGAAAATAGATTTTCATCAAGTTGAGAAATGTCTGGACTTTCTAAGCACAATCCACTTACGATTGCATGATAAAAATAGCCCACACAGTAGGTTTCGATGTGTGTTCATCAGGATTACGTTCAATGCGCAAGTGTAAAAAAATGATCTCAAGGCGATTGCCAAAAATGTGAAAATAAAATGTTGAACGTGGGCGGCTTTTCGAAAGACCGTTCGAATTCGTTTCGTTGGCGCTCAAGCTCAGAAGTAAAAATAACGAATTTTCTGAGATAATCTCAGCTCACTTTGGTTATGAACCTGATTGAAAATCTCACGAAGAGGCTAAATGAAAAACTCACGACGAAGCTGATTGAAAATAAAATCTTGCAAAAATGTCAATGTTCATGTTTGATAACATAATCAAGTCTTCAGACTAAGACGAATTTACTTACGGCAATAACGAAATTTTCTATGTTTAATTCATAAAAAAAGTTCGATTGAGTAAAAGATGTCTTACAACACAATTGATCTTACAATGATGTGAGAAGAATAGCGAATAAATCTCCATAGTTAAAGATTACCAAAGAAAAAAATCTCTATCAGGTTGTTGAAGTCATAAACACTCACTGACTCTGAAATCAGAAACCCAAAGAGATCGACTTTTTCAATCCCAATATTCAATTCAACGAAAAAAAAAGAAAAATACTTTGCACGACACTTGTACGAAACGAACAAATAAATAAACCAGCAAATAATTCCAGTTGAGTAAACCGTAAAACAGACACTTTTCGTATGAAATGTAATATTTCAATTCATTAACAAACTCCACAGAAAAAGAAAATGTATAACGAAAATTATAAAAAAAAATTTCCTAAAAATCACACAGCTGCAAGCGAATCGATGTGATACTTACAAAACGAATCCGCGTATTGAACAATCGCCGACGAACTGAGAAGCAGTTTGAGCCCCTGGGTAATCTTCAGCGCGAGCGCTAAGACAGCTACGAGTGTTGATATATAATATGTGTGGTGTGATGACTCAGATACATACACACAAAAACGATTCGTACGAAGGTGAGCGCACAGTTGAGAGATGGGAATATGTTGAGCAAAATCGGCGTTTTTCTCTTTCCTACAGTGTGTGTGAGTGAGTCGCACGTATGGGTTTTTTTTATGCTCTTATGCGTGTTTATACAAAGTATCAAGTTAAAAGTGTCTAAAAATAACACACAACACACAGTTCGAATCTTCGTTCGCTATAACTGATTCAAAAAGGAATGCATTGAGAAAACTGTTAATGAAGCAAAATTTGAGCAGCATATGGGAGCGAGTGTACGTGTGTTTGTGTGTAACAATAATGTCTATAGATTACACAACCGCCTGCGATCGAGCGCTGTTTTTTCCCTAAAAATCGAAAAAAAAATATATTCTCAAATTGCATATGAACAGCGCGCAGAGCGGAGAAAATGTTTTGAAACGACCTAAAAATAAAATCGTAGAAGAGAAAATGAAATTGTGAATGGGCGATGTTTCGGATTCGCGGCAAGAAGTTGTTGGTTTTCTTTGCCGGAAAGGCACCCACTCAACAGATATATATTCCTTGATCTCATTGGTTCGTTCATTTTAGAGTATTTTTTTAAGATTTCAATCTATTTTCCATAGATTGTATTTGAAAACTCGGTGAATTCCTTTGAATAAAATGCCGCGGTTTTTCAACTAAATTGACTTCAAATAGACTCTCTTATGCAAATTACAGACCTATGATGCAACAGGATGGATCGCTATACGATCAAGTACCAATTATGCGTAAGTTCAAAATTAAATAAAAACCAAAACTTTATTCAATTTCAGCCAAATTTCTATTCTTCATTTATCTCAATAGATTCAAAGCAATCAAGTTCACTCTATTCAGACATTAATGGGGATGATGGCGAAACCTCAGAAAAGTCCAGGAATTTTCGCAGTCGTGCCAATTCATCAAGCAGCATTAATACAGCCATTAGTGGTAGCAGTGTGTCATCGATGATAAGCATTTCTAGTTCTAGACGTAGTCATTGGCCATTCGGAAAATGAAATGGGATTTATAATACAGTATATGGGACACCATTCGAGACAGATATTTTCAGAACTATTGAGAAATTTAACGGTTTTTTCCTTTTCAAAACCAATTGTTATAAACACTTGATCACGCCATTAGATTGGATCATGCCATTAGATTAGGCCGTCAACTGAATTTCGAACAAAATAAGTTAAACAATATTTATTGCAAACACCTTCAATTGTGCCACTGATAAAACAATGATGAGCATAATTGTTATATGTCAAAATCAAAATAAAAACAATTCCAGTGTAGTTTTTGTCCTTTTGATACAGTTTATTGATTGTAAAAGAAATGTATTCCATTCATACTTTTGTTCATTTCCTTTGTTCGCGTTGAACTTTAGTTTCACAATAATTACTTGAAAATGAAAACCGAAATAAAATAAAAATGTTTCCTTCTTAACATTTTCTTACTTAAACTTGTTCGTTTTTAAATTATAACTGCACAGAGAGGATTATGCGCTTCTCAATGCAGCTACTTCGGACCACGGAAACTAACGCTACATTGATGTTTTATTAGCTGGCCCTGGACTGAACATTGTTCATTGTATTGAAATGTGGAAATCGGAAGCCCATTCGGAATTTCTCTCTCAACAAATTTACAATTTCATGGTTATCTGGGCAAATTGCATTTTGAACTTTTTTTGCTGCTGCTTCTGCTTCGATTGTGAATTTCCTTGAGAGAAAGTTCTTCAACCGACTTTATGATGATCAGAATCATCAAAACCAATGCACATCTACGGTGGAATGCACTTGTTACAAGTGAAAACATTGCATATTTTCACGGAAATTTAACACGTTTTAAGGGCATCATAGCGAATGATTATGGTGCGGCTAGCAATGCATGCGAATTAGAGCAGCTGAACATGAAATAGAAATGTTTTTTACTTTATTTCTCGTGCGCGTCTTCTATTCCGGTGTGATTCACCGTTTCATTTAAATATATGGCTTTTTTTTCTCTCTTCATATGTTATTTCATCGTAAATTCATCAAAAGAAATGAATATTATGCACATATTAAATGCTAGAATTTTGGTTGGAAGAGTTTGAATCAAAAATTTTATTCGAACAAATACATAAGGCTTAAGTTTGATTTTTTATTCGAGTTGAGGCGATAGAAAATATGGAAAAGATAATTTCAGTTTGTGCCACAAAATATGTAACAGAGTGGAATGAAATGAAATCAAATTCTCGAAACCAATCGCCGTATTTATTTTGACAATCCGCACAATTTAGCAATCACACCTGCGTAAAGTGAATTCATGGAAAGTATTTTTTGTCACACTTCAATGAGGTAACCTCATGCGACTACTTTCATTATCTGACTCAGAAATGGTAAAGTGTAGTCTTCTTGTTGCAAATTATTCATGTAAAGTCAACGGTAATAGTTATCGTTCGGTGTTTGAAATAGAAAAACGATAATTGTCATGAAACATCTGGGTGACACATTTTGGGATTTTTATGATATTTTTCGTAATTTTTATGGCGGTTTTTGTCACTTCCGTTCAAAAGTCGACGTTTTCTTACCAATATTTGCCTTCATTATTATTAGACACACATTTAGTATCAGTTGAAATCATTTGCTCTCACTCACTAAATAAGTCAGTTGAAGTCAGTTAAATGTTAAAGTCATTCTCCTCTCTTTGTTCAAACCTTTCTAATGGTCAAATGCAATCATCGCCCTAGGAATTAGCACTTGGAATTTCTATTTGGACTTAGCATCAAAGGATATCTTTAAGGCCTATATGCAACTTGAGTGATAAAAATAAGGATAACGAAGAAGCATTGATCATTTCAAATTCTATTTTTGTCACTCGAGACCATTCCGGTTAAAAATACTACTTGAAAATGAAACTTCATAAGTTTAACTCCTTTTTGTTTTATTTTTTAAAAAAAATATTTCAATCTTTTCATCACATTTATTTATTTTATAGGAACTCATTCCAGATCAATTTGGATTTTTCAAGTCAAATTATCCTCATCTAATATAAAAGCATCTTTTTCTAACACAATTATGAACATATTTAAACAACAATTGTGATTATGGTATTAAAGTTATTAAATGGGTAAATAAAATGGTATAAATCCCGTGTCTTCAAAAACATCATATCCATAGTTGATCAGTTAAATTAATAAGAAGGTCATACGTATGACCAATAAGAAGGTCATACGTATCACACAAACTCTGGCAAAGATTTGAGTAATAACAGCAATATAAGGCAATGTAAAGCATCAACTCCAAATTTAAAGGCTGTGCGTCTCGTCACTATAGACAATGTATAGAAATTAGATTATTTTGTAAAAATACTCAATTATGATGGTAATTTATTGCCGCGAGTGCATAATATCAAATAATATCTACGTTACATTTGCATCAGTTGACTGATTTTCACCAGTCGACTTGTCGGCTCTACTCCAAACATAAATCGAAGATCTGTAAAGAATGTATTTTAGTTTTCTGATTAAATTCTCTTTCTATAGAAATGAATTATCATTATGAATATTATTTAATCAACATTGATTCGACGATAGATTTTTCCAAAAATTTGAAATTTTCTTACAATTTCGTAAAAATGAACAAAATGATTTAGCAAAAACTGGCATTACCTCAACGAATTATCCGGAGCAGTCTTGGCCAAATAATAGAGTAAGATGTGCAACAAGACCGTCCAAGTTCGGAAGAAACCCAGAAAGAATCCGACCACACCATAGAAAAAGCCAAATAATATGGTGAAAAATATTTCAACGGTGATAATGGCAAAGAATACAAGCAGTAAGACAATTCTTAGCATGCAAAACCATCTGCGATGGTTTTTCGTTGGCATTCCAATCACTTGATAGTATCGTTGTGCGAGACATTTTGAGTAAATCCAGTTCAATGGGAATTGACAGAAAAGTAACTGAGTAAATCCAAGGAAACATGTCATTCCTCCAGCTAAATGCGTGCCCTCCACATAATTGCCGATATACATAACCACTCCATAGTGACCATCAACTAAATCCGAAACTACCCATGGTCCAACCGTAAGATAGACGCAGTATAAAATCAGCGGCCAAAAGATTCGATCCACAGATGATAGGATCCAAAATTGTTGAAACAATGACATGGATGACCGGCAGCTGCTATGCCTTCGCCGAAGGCAACCAACTGAAATGAATTTTCATTTCAATGTATGGAAATTACATGCTCGGCAGTAAATAGGTTAAATATCACCTTCCAATAGATAGAAAATTCAAAATCATACCTTTGACTAACTCATGCCAAATTCGCAGGAAAATCAATGGAACAACACAAATAACCCAAGATAACCAGAAGAGAATCTGAAACACGGCGGTGGCATCACTTCTCAGAATGAGTCGCGCCCATAGGTCAAATTGAAGCGATTGTTTTTCATCCAATCGAAACGGTTGTATCACTTGTTTTTCTCGATCCTTGTTATCCACAACAGTCACTTTTAAGTCATGCAAACCATTTTTATAACGCTTCGCGTCCCATGGAACGACGAAAAAGTTATCATTAATTTGCTGGCAGATCTTGTTGCCTTCGGTGCCTATCTCTACCGTACAGTTTTTGATCCCCGATGGAGAAAATGCTAAAATTCGAATATGCGTTGAATCTGTGTGGGGTAATAAAATTGAACGTAATTATTTTTTCTTCATGTCAATACAATGCATTGAAGATGATCCGAAAAGAATCTTTTCAAAAGATGGATCAACTGATCAGTCATAAATGATCTACACTGTACACGGTATACAGAGCTGGTGGCCAGTTCTTTTTGTACCTAATTGAATCGTCGATTCATGTCGATGCGGAACATAAAAAAGTGCATGCTTCGGGTTCGTAATCAATACAATGGGCCAAACACCATTATAAACATCGACAAATGAGAATAGCCCATGATCGATTGCAGCCACTCGAAATTTTCTGCACCATTTCCAATCGCCGACTTCAAGCTCAAGAAAACTTTCGTCTTGCAGTGCGTACATTCGGGGAATCAATCCAGAGATGGTGTGAAAATGTCCACACATGTAAGCTAAACTATTGTCATAATCCCTGATTATCCGACGCAACGAACGATGGTCCTTGTTCATTTTTGCAATGTTCATGGTTGGATAATGACCGAACCAAATTGTGTGATTGACTCCTGCTTTTTTGGATTCATCGACCAATAGCTGCAACTGATCGGTGTCATTTTGCGTTAACATGCCAAAAAAATTGTATGGCATCTTAGGCCCTGGCTCCAAACAGGCATCAACAGCAATGAATGAATACAAATCACCATTTGAACCCTTAACTATTTCCATATAGGAGCGTTTATGCTTGGCACCTTGGACGGAATAACGCTTGAAATGGACATCGTTTGACAATGGCACGTTGAATGTATCTGAATGAAAATGATAAATCAAAAATGAAACCAAAACTCACATGTATCCCATGTAGGGGACTTATGTTATTGCCATAGCCAATTCATTTCAAGGAATTGAAATCGAAAATAATGGAATTTCTTCAATTCCGTGACTACTCACCATGATTTCCACGAATATCAAGCCAAATCGTTTTGCCCGTCACATTAGCTTGGGTTAGAATGTCCTGATAAGTTTTCCACTCTACATCATTCTGGTGCGATAAATAGAATGCATCTCCTCTTCCATCAGTTAAATCCCCTGAAGCCAACACCACCGGCGGTTTAATTGCGTCCAGTGTTTCAGTTACAAAGTTTCGAAAATCAACGATTCGTTGCTTATCTTCTAGATGACTGATGTGAAGATCGGAAATCTACGGAATTCAGTATGAAAGCAATTTATTGAATGCCCGTATCAATGTATCAAAATATTGTCAACTCAGTTGATGTTAACAAATTTCAGTTGGTTGTTGCCAAATGATTGGCTTACTTTTATATGGTTATATCGGATTAATCAGATTTGAAATAAATTGATTTGAAAATCAACAAATAAATGTCTAACTAATTTGATTTGAAGGGTTTTGCAAAATAAATGAAATGAAAATTGGTCAAATCAAATCAATATTGTCAAGCTTGTTTGATTTGATCTAAAAATCCAAAATTGACAACATATTGAATGATAATCTAAGTAGTGCTAGTCAAAAGGCAGCCAAAACATTGGAAATTAGTTAAAAATAGTCGACTATGTTGACAATATTTTCACCAATTAAAACACGTGCAAATAATAGAATCAGCGATTCTTATCAAAATTGAAACTATAAAAAAACTCTTCTGATATTCATGCACCTGTACAAACCAGAATAAATGGTCCGGATGTTCATTCATGTGTATATTTTGTACTTTAACTTTAAAACGCTCGTCACGCTTCTGAAGTTCTTCTTCATCAACGTTATCAGCATAGCCGATAAATCGTATCATTGATATTGATACCAACAACAGGCCGATACACAGAATTATCGCAAATATTGTTGATCTCATTGTCACAAGTTATTTGTCAAGTTCATGCGAAATCGGATGAAAAAGGTGGTCTCTCTCTCTGGAACCTCTGAAAAATTGTAATATAATTCATAAAAATTCTTGTTATTTTTTGAAGTTTTTGTTTTTTGTTAATTTAAAATAGTTTTCGTTTTAATGAAGTTTGTCACGTAAACTTACGTCAAATTTGTTTTTACAGATAGCTTCTACTCAACTTTTACCGTTAGATTCCACCGACCATCAATTCAAGACTGAAAAACTAATTCAGTTTGTGGTTTAATCGATAATTTAATTGTTATTAACAATCGAAAGAATAAAATCAAACGTTGACATTCATTTTTAATCTATTGATTAGAACACACGCGAATCGCATTGCATGAACATTATTTTATAAAATGTAAAAACTGATTAATTGCAATTATCACGATAATAGATCTCTTTATTCTTTATTGGAACATGATATACCGTAAATTGGTTTTATGTCACTGCTTTCACTTTCGAAGAATATCGACCAAAAAAAACTCTTTCATCGAAGGAAATCGTGATATTTCGACTCGTCGAATCATTGCCACTGAATTGCTTTGCTTTTGTTATGTTAATGCCAACAATTCCGTTGTTTGTTTATCACACATTGGTGTGAATATTCTTCGCGGTAATGTATAGTCAGATAAGCGTAGATCAATTGTTTATGTGCGAGCGTTGTGAGTCACAGCTTTTGACTTTTTCTCTGGTGTTGCCACTTTTTGTTTTGATAAAATTCACCTAGTTACGACTACACTTGCGCTCAGTTGAGTGAATACGTTTTGGTGTGTGGAACTCAACAGAGTGTCCATTGTTTATCGATGGTTTGAAAGCAGGGTGTTCATTTTGTACAAATCCTGTATTCTAAACATATATTTTGTCGAAATTTGTACGGAAAATTTTGGTGAATGAAAAAAAATGAAATTTCTTATTCGTTTCTTCTATGGAATAAAAATCAATTAAATAAAAAAAAACTGAATTGTTGAAAAAAAAACAGAAACTTTGAATTTAGAATATGATGCAACTTTTCTTTCTCATAAAATCGAATCAACGTTTTTTCTTAAACAATAAACACTATGAACACGTTCATGTAAATTAGATTTTGAATTTAAAAAAATTGTAAGATGTTTCAAATTACGTTATGAAACTTCGTAAAATAAACCGGCATTCTCACCAGCACTAACAAAATGAATTGTTGATGAAGAAAATGAATTCAAGCTAGGAATTGAATGCCTCTGTCAAAAGATAAGTCTTGATATGAACAAAGGTAAATAAACTAAATCGATGTTTATCTGAACGATAAACACAAGTACTTAATTTCAAGTGGTAAAAGTATAGCTTTACAACTAGGGGAATATCACGCTTTAGAATAGTGGCGATATGTTGAGATATTTGATATAAACATCAATTATATGATATAGATCAGAAATGAATGGATTTTTCAGAAATTTGAATGCCAATTGAAACTTTTTGGAATCTGAAAATCGGTCCAATATTTCAAATCATTTTCTGAAAAAAACTAGAATTATAATAAAAAGGTATCAAAATCTTCTGTTGGCCACTTAAATTTTTCGGTTGGCCACAAGTGGCCAAGTGGCCAGTAGGTTGGACAGCACTGGCGTAAAGTGTACTTACTTCGAAATTTGTGTGTACCTTGCAATCGAAATGTGTGAGAGAGATTAGCTTGAACAGAGACAAAAAATTTTTTTATTCCAATTGGTCAATGCAATCCAATAATTTGACCTTAAGCTTTTGATGAAAATCGCAAAAAATGTTCGATATCAAAACGAAAATAGAAGCATGCTGTCACCAGCAGTTCTAATCAAAATGATTGCTGCGTAAATTTGGTTTTATTGTCATTAATACACTACAAAAGTCACAAACTGTAATGAATATTTGATGCAAAACCTTAAATCAACCCACCGTTTGTCGCCAGCATGTCTGGTTCTATACAAAATCAATGAAAATCACTAGTTTTGAGTACAAATATAGCGGTAAAATAATAAAATGGACAAATCGTCTGTTACAATCCCAATGACACTAAATAATAGCACATACTTAGTAGTACTGCTTGGTAAGGATTGATTATTCTTCGAAGCTTATTGTGTTGGAGAAAAACCACACTCATTAACAAAATTGCCACATAAAAAACGCAATTGATGATGCAGTTAGTGCATTGTGAAAATACAGTTCATAAAAAGGATTTTATTTTGCAGTTTTTGACTGAATTCTATTTGCAAAATTATTCGTATGGCAAATTATTATTGTGGTTCGGCCAGAGTCATAATTCTACACACCGATTGCCGTTCGATTTTGGTCATATACTCCACTTAAACTGTAAATAAACTTTTAAGCAGCTTTTCCTTGTGGTTACTACTACTTTCAATGCCATATCATACATGGCTATATATTAACAGAAGTCAATCCTCTGGAATTTACGATAAGGGAGAATGGACAGATGTTCATTTGTCATACAGTAATGATCAGAAGCTTAAGTACGACTATAAAATTCATTATTTCTATGTTTTATTGTCTTATTCATTCCAAATTTAGCTCATAATCTAAAATGATTGGATTAAGCTTTCGAATGCTTATTGCAATTCTAACTGAATGAAAGATTTTGAAGGTAATATATCGGCCGCCTATGGTTGGAATATAGGAAAACTCGAGTATTAATAATTTTGCGTTTTTCTATCAATTTTTTTCTTTATTATTGCCCTACAGCATTCACCGATTAAATTTTTCATACGATATATCAATGCCACCCACCGTTTGTCGCCAGTGCGTCTGGTTCATTATAAATTAGTTGAAAATTACAGGTTTTGGCTAGGCAATCGCACAAGCAACCAGAGGGTGCAATTCCCATTATAAATTATTTGATTTTCAATTCAACGAAGGCGCAAATACAGCGATAAAAGATCAAATGATCGAACGGTCTATGAAAATCCCAACTATGCTAAATAACAGCACATACAGAATGGAAAATAAGGCTAGACACACTTGAAGTTTTGTTTACGGCTTATAAAATCCAAGTTATCTCCGTTGTTTCTAATTAAATCACTTTTTGTTCAGACTCGCGGTAATTGAACGTCACTTGGAACAGTCAGGCGATTATTTGAAGTAACTATGTCGGCAAATTTAACAGTCAACGCAAGCAATACATAACTTAAGGAGTTTTAAAGTCCCGCTAATCCAAAATCGGCTTTCCGTAATAATGAAGGTGAAACATTGTCAGCCGTCCTGACTCAGCACCAGTTTTATGTCTTTCGCTGTACTTGACAGTACTTGTAATGCTACAAGGGTTTATCGTTATTATTCGAAGCTAATTTTCTTTAAAAACCACAATCATTAACAAAATCGCTTTCAGTGATTTAACAAAATGTCGTTCGGAAAAAGGATTTTCTTCTGCGGTTTTTGGTTGGGATGGAAAACATAAATTCGTACAGAAAATTATTGTTATGGTTTAGCACCATAATTCGGCTAACCGATTGAGGAAAATGGTCAATTGAAGGCTTAATGGCAATTTCCTTGTCGTATATAAGGCGAATATTGTCTTTAAAATTTCAGTCAAATTTTTGGGCGAGTGCTGATACCGTTATCACATTTATCGAATAAATTCTTTTCGTGAGAAAATTGAGAATAGTGAGCAATGAAGGCATTTAAGCCACATCAGCGCATTTTCACGTTGATGTGCGTCCTGCCCATACCTGAAAACAGTGGTGCGTGGGAGAAAATCGTGCGATTAATCTTTGGGTTCACAGTATCAATGAGTGTTTCATGTAGTTTAGTGTCAAGTATAATTTATGTCTCAAAGTATGCAAACGATGATTTGGTCGAATCAGTTAAAACAATCTATCAAATCGCTGCTTACTGCAATGTTACCTATATGATGGTCATTGCTTTTTTGAAGAGAAATGATATATTTGGGATTTTAAGGAGATTTCAAGAGATTTATGATGCGAGTAAGCAGAAGCCACAATTACAATGCTATAAGAATTGAATAAGATTAGGAATAAGTAAAATGAATTTCAAATTTCAGATAAAAGAAAACCTTCATTACAATATTTGATCGAAGCAAATGATAAAGGCAAAAGATTAACCAAATTATTCATGCAATGCTCCGTCGGATTCATTTTGTCGAACGTAATTATGGGTTTCGCGCTGATCCTCTACTGTTTCATCAAATACGGACAATTTGACTCTGATCAACTCTTTTTGCCATACAATTACGTGGATCCTTTGAACAGATCGAAGCTTATTGGATGGACTCTGGAATATATATACCAGGTAAGTAAAGGTGGTGACAGGGAACGTGATTTTGATTCATTTTAATAGAGTAACTAAAGAAGACTAGTAAAAAAAAGTCAATTTCAAGAGAATTTTCCGAAGAAGCCGACTTCTAGTAAACATGTAGTCTTAATGGGGTTTCTTTCATTCAATTTCAGATGATCTCAGGTGGAAACTACTTGATCATCAGTATGGTATTTGCTTCGTTCTTTATTTGTGTTTGCTTCCATCATATGGCATTCTGCAAACAAACGCAAGAGCTCATTATCAAACTTGAGCAAGAAATGAATGACCACCACAATGGAACAAAGAAAACTTTATTGATTTTATACGAAATCGTACAATTTCATACTTCAACAAAAGAGTGAGTCGATGATTTACATGGTTTTTCTCAACCAATTTTATTTTGAAAACAAAAATGTGGTATTTTGCCACGTGAAAATGTGTCAAACCAAAAATTCTTTTCTTTGAATTTCAATTCGATTTGTCCATATTCCCTAGAAAAATTTTTTGGAAAAAAAAAACATTGTTGGAAAACGTTGGGGCTTCTGTTCTATTCATGTTCGGAAGAAAGATTTTTTGGGCAAAAATTCCATATTGATTTCCATTTAAGTCAACAATTATGTCATTTCATACTTCAACATTTTTGTTGTGCATTTCAGAATAATTCGGGAGACCATAGATCTGTTCAGTGGTTTTCTTTTGATTCAGTTGCTAGGAGGTGTTATCCATATTTCAGCCTGCATATTTCAACTTGATTTGGTAACACTGATTAGTTTTTCGTTAAAAACAATTCACAACATCCTTGTTCATTTGGCATTAACTCTCGAATTGACAATTTCAATTCTATGGTTTCAGGCATTGCAAAAACTTGGGCTACTGACAGTTATAGCTGTGATTTGCGTATGTTGGAGCTCTGCAAACACATTTCTTTATTGCTTTTTTGGAAATTCAACTACTGAAAGTGTACTTGAAATCAATGGATGGCTTTACAATGTCAATTGGCACGAACTAAAAAATGAACACCAAAAATTTTTCATCATGCTGCTCGCCAACTCGCAACGACCACTCTACTTTCATGGCAGTGGTATAGCCAATTTGACGTTGGAAACTTATGCTAAGGTGTTTATAGATCTATTATACATATATATCTATTCGTGAGACGTAAAAGAACGTATGTTTATTTCTCGATTTATATTTTTGAAAAGGAAAGTATGTTTTCTGTTGATTCCATCTGCGTTAAAAGAAAGTATGTTGTAGCACCGTCTAGCCTCCACGGTCCTCACGGTTTTCGGCCAACTGATAAGAGATAACAAAATGGTGTCTTCGGCAAATTTGTAGTACTCGAGGTCTTCTATAACATTGCTGAAGGCAGGTGACTCTTATCTCTTATCAGTTGCGCGCAAATTGCGCACAT